AGAGAGCCCCCTCCCTCCCCCCCGTTGTTCTCAAGGGTCACCACCCAAGGCATGCAAAACAGGGGCCCCCCCCCCCCCCCCCACACGCACGCTGTACGGATCCGACCACCCCCTCAGGCGTACAACATGTCAGCATCCTCGCCCGCGACAAGCATGCCCCCGTTGCAGTCGCCCCCGGCTTACGACGGCAGCGTCTCCGCCGCCGACGGCGACCTCCAAGCCCTCAGCGTCTCGGCCGCCCTGCGCGCCCGCGAGCACCAACAGGAGAAGAACGGCGGCGGCGGGAGCGGCCTGGGCGGCCTGGCCGGCAGCGGCTACCTCTCCGACGGCAGCAACTGGAAGTCCGGAGGCACCGTGGATACCTGCGACACCGTCTCCGCCACCACAGCCGCGACCACAAACGGCGGCGGCGGCGGCGGCAGCGGTGGCAGCAGCAGCGCGGGCGGCGTCGGGGCGGGCACCGACTACCCGTCCTCGTCCTCGTCTACGGCTTCGGCCGCGGCGCAGGAGGCCGCCGCTGCCGGCCGGAGGGCGTCTTCGAGCGCCAAGGACGCGGTGGCGGCGGCGGCTGCCGCCGCAGACGCCAGGACCCAGGAGGTGTGTGTTTTTTTGTTGTTAGTGTCGGCGGCGCTAACTGATTTGTGCGTGTTTTGTTTTGTTAATTAAGGGTTTGACCGCGCTCTGACCGGGCGACCAGTAAAAAGACGTCAGTGCCGGGACGAAGGACGTGTGTATGTTATTTGCTCTTTTTTTGTTGACGTCGACGGCGCTAATCGGTGTATGTGAGTCTGTGGTGTGCGTTCTTTTCTCTTTTTTATTGGCGTCGACGGCGCAAAACGGTGTCGTGTGTGTGTGTTTTGTGTGTCTCGTTAGAAAACACTCGCCAGCCCTATGTATCTGTGCTGCCAGGCTGATGCGGAGGGTACTATTGCACCCCACCTGTTCGGTGTCCACCACGCCTGTTTGTCTCCGACCCCTTGTCTCGCTACCTTCGAACTAACGCTCTTGTTGTTGTTGTTCTTCTTGTCGTTGTCGTTGTCCCGGGGGTTGGCACCAGGAGGCCGAAGCGGCAGCCGACAGGGCCTCCAAGGCCGCCGCTAACGCCGCAGCCGGGGCCGCCGGCGCCGCTCGCGCGGCGTCTGCCGCCGGGCGCGTTGCGGCCGCGGAGCAAGCGGCGAGGGGCGCCATGGAGATGTCTGGGGGCACGAACGCCTCCGGCCGGCCCATGAGAAGGTGAGAGAAAGAGATTGAGACAGGCATACACATGTTAAGAGAGAGGGAATGGAGAGAAAGAGAGAGGAAGAGGAAATGGATGGAGAGAGAGCAAACACAAGGCTGTGTGAGAGGGGGAGT